AAGTCTGCAAGCATCAACAGCTGGGACGACCTGGAGAATCTGTTCCTCGCTCACTTCTTTGATGATGATGCCGATATGTCAATCAGGACACTCTTCGATGAGAAGCAAAAAAACGATGAGACGGTCGACGACTTCGTCAAGCGCTTCCAGAATAAGGCGATGAACTGCCGAGATCCGATCACGGAGAACTTCATCCTCCAAACCTATCACAACAACCTCTTTTTGGACGTGTTGGAAGTTATGTGAGTAGCACCGTCCAACAACTGGAAAGAATTGAAGGTGCGAGGAGAGCGGGCCGAACGCTTTCTCAGAAGGAAGAAGACCGAAAGAAGCCAGCAGTCAATGCATGTGGTTACTGGTGATAATAATCAGACGTCACAACAACAACCTCAAAAACAGCAAAGGACTCCAGATCCGACACTCCAAAAAGAATACTCTTTCAAAGATGAGGAAGTTCCAGATATTTTTGAGTACCTCTTGAATAACGGGGAAATTGAGTTACCACCTATTAAAGATCAGGAGGGAGCTAAGAGGATTACGAACCCAAATTACTGTGCGTACCACAGGAGGGTTCTCCATCCTACTGAGGTTTGTTTCGGTCTAAAGAACAAGATTCAAGCTTTAATCGACTCTGGCGCCATAAAGCTAGAATAAGCCAAATGACGGTGACACACTCCGAAGAGTATACGAGTATAAACTGCTCCTCGATACTCCAATAGGTATATGAGTCTAAACTATGAAGAGTATACGAGTATAAACTGCTCCTCGATACTCCAATAGGTATATGAGTCTAAACTATTTCCTACCATTGACGGGAAGTTCCTGGAGAATTTTTATCTAAACTATTTCCTACCATTGACGGGAAGTTCCTGGAGAATTTTTATATGTAATATTCTTAAGGATAACTCGGTCATGTAGCTGAGTATAATGTCAGACTCAGTTCCTCAAAGAAAGCTGGGGGTGGATGATTCATGTAACGGGAAGTTCCCGGAAGAATGCTACATGTAACTTTATTAGGGATAACCCGATCATTACAAATAAAATGATAAAAAAAACTAAATCCCCACTGTGATTTCCGAACACTCCTTTGCTGAGATGAGATTCGATCACTTCGTTGGATCAATCTTCTCTCATAAAACTCCCATTGGTGTTTGACGATTCATAGTCTTCCACCACAAAAATCCCCCACCGATTAGACTAATTGACGGTGGGACCACCAAAATTCCTTTCGGTTGAATCCACTCAAACTCTTGCCACATCTGTGCACTCAACCCTCCTATTGTCTAAGTCTGGACAGAGTACTCGGAATTTTAATCTCATGATCTTTGATAATTGTTAAATCCCTCTATGTTAAGTATTTGTCACTTAACACTAGGAACCCCCTTTGAGTGATTTGTACAAATCAACAATCCTATTGTGATTTGCACTTCCACTCTAACTTGGTCAAACCTTTAAACAGTTAGGACCACAACTAAAATCCCCTCTCGATTCCTTTCATGAACGAGAGGTCCACAAATTGAACGATCAAACATTTAAACAGTTAGGCTCGTCTCAAATTTCTATCTTGGTCAAACCTTTAAACAATTAGGACCACAACCAAAATCCCCTCTCGATTCCTTCCATGAACGAGAGGTCCACAAATTGAACGATCAAACCTTTAAACAGTTAGGGTCGTCTCAAATTTTTATCTTGGTCAAACCTTTAAACAGTTAGGACCAAGACCGGAATACCCTTTTGATAAACGAAAGACTTTCACATTTTCCTATTTGGCCAAACCTATAAAAGTTAGGGCCGAAATCGGAATTTCACCTCAATAAATGAGGAATTATTTTCTTGGATTAAGAAACCAATCCTATAAAAGTTAGGGTTGCTTGAATCTTTCCGATTCTCGGAGTGGAGATCTCACTCCTAGTTTCACTTTTCTGGATTCTTAGGGTGAAGATCCCACTTCGAGTTTCTTTGGCAACTGGAGATAGAATATAAAATTCTTCCTCTTCGGTTTTGGGAGATAGAATATAAAATGCTTCCTCTCCTATTTTGGGTTCGTCTTTGCCACAAGAGAAGACACCACATTTTCAACTTCAAAATCCGCGCCTTACACGCGCGGGGAAATTTATCCCGAACCCTAATTAGGGATAAGTCAGCGCCTAACACGCGTTGTCGGTTAGTTTTTTTTACCGTAAAAGAGACAAAAGCCCACATATTCAACATTGTGGCAGGTTGTTATTCATAACGCCAAAATCCGCACCTTACACGCGCGGCGAATTTTATCCGGAACCCTAAGTAGGGATAAGTCAGCACCTAACACGCGTTGCCGGTTTAGTTTTTCACCGATTGAAGAAGACACCAGAATTCCAGTCTGGAGACTTTTATCCCGAAGCCTAAGTAAGGATAAGTCAGCGTCTAACACACGTTGCCAGGTAGCCTATTCCCGTAACAATGGCGAAGTCTACGTATTCGAAGTCGTAGCATCAAGTCTAAGGGATCGAGTTCATTCCTTTAGCACAACGTCACATGCGGAACGGACTTAAAACAATCCGCATGTAAGCCCGATTCAAACGGTAATCGGTAAAGGCACGTCAAATCCGTTGATGGCTGAGAATTTTCCAAAAATCCTAAGTCTACGTCTAATACACGTCGCCGGGTAGTCTATTCCCGCGAAAAAGATGAAGTCTACGTATTCAATATCGTAGCACTAAAAGAGTTAACTCTTTTAGCACAACGTTACATGCGGAACGAACTTTAAACAATTCGCACGCTAGTCCGACTCAAACGGTAGTCGATAAAGGCTCATCAAACCCGTTGATGGCTGAGGAATTGCTAAAAATCCTATAAACGTGAGAGTCATTGATGCACCAGCCCCATTACTTGATCTCGTGACTTGAGCATCCAACAACTTCAGGATAAGATCCATACGTGCAGATGAATCAGCTTTAGCAAGTTGGTCTTACAGCCCCAACATTTGAGACCGTCACGCTCCAATGTCTTAAGAGCTTAAACTGTGTAGACTCCAGCAAACATACGAGTATAAATTGTGTTAACGCCGGTCAACGTGTTGCGATGAAAGTCAACACCGATCGATACAAAACCCTAACGCCAACGCCGATCAACGTGTAGCCCTAGGTCAACGCCGGTCAACACGTTGCAACGAAGATAATCAGTTCAAAATCAACTCAATGACACGAGACAAAACTAACTCACCAATTTCGATTCAAGATTTCGACAACGGTCAGACGATAAACGCAGCGCTGGAAGAACTTTATCTATTCGACAAAATACTGAATAGACTGAAGGCTGAAAAAGTCAAGAATTAAAGCAGTTCACAGGTCCTTTGACACCGACTGAAGGTGGGGGCCTATCATATCCAAAGCATCCTAGACTCCTCTATAAAAGAATGAGTCTGAAATACTTTGGAGGGTGGTATCTGTAGGCGTCTAAAAATACCTATAAGTATCCACACACAGCTCGAGACAGAGAGAAGGTGATGAACGCCATTATCTAAGTCTAAGAAGATTATCCGACGCCGACGAACACATGAAGCAAAACGGCAAACCGAATGGCCTGTGCGCTCACCGGCCACCTCCAAATGGCCCGTGCACTCGTCAGCCAGCTCCAAGTGGCCCGCGTGCTCACTGGCCACCATCAAGTGGCCCGCACACCTATCGGCCACCAAATCGGTGAACCAAGTGGCCCGCGTGCTCATCGGCCACCATCAAGTGGCCTGCACGCTCATCAGCCACCAAATCGACGAACCAAGTGACCCGCGTACTCATCGGCCACCAAAACAGCGTACAAGTCAACGAAACGACGAAATACGCGTAACGGTGCAACAAATCAAAATCCGAAAGACTAAGAAAGCCGCTGGCGACCGAGTCGCATTGAAACGGCCGGGACGAACCAGTGGTTCGACCCATAGCTAGGTCACCAAGGGTGGCTCGGCGGGCGAGCCACCAAATGGTGGCTCGGCCATGGCCGAGCCACCGGGTGACGCTTCGGCCAGATTTGATCTAAAAGTGATATTTTTCGGTTTTCATGGATTCTCTCGGGATTTGTTGGTTCCTGAACGTCCCAACTGATCTGATACTATAGTTAATCAGTTCTTAACTGAAGATAAGGAGGAATCCCTCGTTCTTATCTAAATACCCGTTTCCGAAGCTTATAAATACGAGCTCGGGTGCTCATTTCTCCGGGGCTGAACATCAAGAGGCGAGGTGCTGCCGGTTTCTCGAGTGCATAGCCACGAATTTCAGAGAGGGTTAGCTAGATCTCGGCTATCTCCTGTGCATAAAGAGTGGAGTTCGAGAGATCTGAGACTCGTCCCCTATTCCTCCGGATTTAAGCTTGGTCTTAAATCTCGAGAAGAGCCGTAATCTCGCTTGGTCGAGATTATCACTGCAACGATTACTTCCTTCGTAAAGTAAGAGCTTTGATCATCAATCTGTCAACCGGATCTGATCCGCGACGGTCCACTGATATTAACGTCCCCGGCATAGGCAAAGATCTCACGCAAGCAGAAGACCGATAAACGATCTATGTGCTGTTTGACGAGAATTGTACCCTTTTATTTTCATTGTGTAAAGGTCTTATAAAAAGACCGATCTTTGCTGTTTGACGAGAATTGTACCCTTTTATTTTCATTGTGTAAAGGTCTTATAAAAAGACCGATCTTTTTGAACTTATTGTAACGATCAAAGTCATTGTGTAAAGGTCTTATAAAAAGACCGATCTTTTTGAACTTATTGTAACGATCAAAGTTGTAATGAGATATACAATGAAGAAAACAATTTTCTCCCCAAACAACTACTAGATTCCAATAAATTTTTTGCACAATACATACTTGCATCAAATTATATACACAACATACATGTGAACAAATTTTGCAGCAAATTATTTGCACAATACACATGCTCTCATTGCATTTACCCCACAAAAAAATTGTTCTTAATACAGCACAATATCACTGCATATATCACCTCAATTCATATATTAACATATATCCATTCATAACTGATTCTATCACACAACTGATTCTATCATAGAGTTTTCTAAGATCATTCATTGTTCACAAGAATCACCTTACTAAATCAACAACCAAAGACAAAAAGATTCAGCTACCATATTAAATTGCTTTGTTAGTATTCAAAGCAATCCCAGAGCTCACAAAAGTTGGCCATATTCTATGTTGGTGTAGCTCGTAAAAGTTGACCATATTTCTTATGTCATGGTAGTTCACAAAAGTTGACCACATTCCTGCCATGGTCTCCAAATTTGGTTTGAGAGATTTTTTTCCCCTTGCCTTGCTGCAGTTGCTGAGCTGCCTCTCTCAGCTGAGTTCTGTTGATGCATACTTTGCCTCCGCCAAGTACCGTTGGCAAGTTAAAAACCCTCCTACTGTATTAGGTGGAGGTTGGTGGCTTCTTGTTGTAGGCATCGGTGTAGGAGAGGGAGCTTGTTGTGTAAAATGAGTTGTAGCTGTGGTAAAGAAGGAATTGAAGACTTCTGAATAATAGGGGGTACATAAGGACCTTGTATTTGTATTTGGAATGCTAGCGTAATAGTCGTATGTTTGCGGGGTAGTGGTTGTTAAGTGTTGAGTTGGAAGCTTGTCCTTGCAATGAATACTGAAATAGGTTGGCACAGATATATACATAATGCAACCAATTATTTCGCTTGCAAATATATACCTGATCACATGTCGGAGTACTAGGGTTGGGGTTTGTTCATTTGAGCAGTGGGGCATTCTATTCTTGGTTCCCTGTTGCAAAAAAAATAAAAATAAATAAATGATAAAAATTGAAAATTAAAACTTGTACTTAAAATTTAAATGTTCCCGTACTGGTTTTCTTCTTCTCTAGGCACCGCTATATTGCTTTGGCATATTTTGTTGTGAAAAGCTCTTTAGTGAATGCTTTCTTGGTCTACCCCGTTTGCTTTTGGAGGCTCTTTCTCTGTTTGGTGTATTTTTGCAAGTTCTATTATTGTGACCCAACCGCCCACATCTTTTACACTTATTCTACATTTTCTTTCTCTGAACCCTCATATTTGCAGCATCTTCCTCTCCAATTTCTCTCTTTCTACTCCTCTTTGGCCTTCCTTTCATAATTCTTGTCTTTGGAGGTGCTGGTTGTGGGTATATTGTCCTAGGCCATTGTCTCATTCTAGGGATTGGTGAAATATTTCTGCCATATGCCAAAATATATAGCTCTCTTGTGTATGCCTCATGCACAAATGATTCTATTCGTAAATTCCTTTCGATGATGGCTGAAACTCCATGTGAACATGGAAATCTACTTAGAAAAATGATACAGGCACACCCTCGGGCACACCTCCGGCTATCCCCTAGCTACAGTGCAGGGGCCCCACTTGAGATTTTTTTTTAAAATCTCAAGTAAGTGTGCCCGAGGGTGTGCCTGTAGCGCCTCCCATCCACTTAACTGGCACTTATTGCAGCCACATGTTCTGTCATTCACGTTAACAGTAAAACTATCATTGTTGACCTGCACATCAAATTTCTCATATCCACCAAAAGTTGTGATATATTCTCTAGTTGCTTTCTTGAGGAATTCAATCGTTTGCTCAGCTCTAGGCACTAAATTCCCCTCTATTTTTTAAATGCATTGTTGCTTTAGAATCATCCTCTTCATGAGAATCCTCCTAATGATCTCCATGCATGTGAGTATTGGCTTGTCCCTTGCATCAAATATTCTTACTGAAAGATTCACACATGTTGTTCAACAAGCAATCACTCTTGGTGTCCAATCTGAATGCATGCCTACTCTAATGGGACGGATCTTCAGACATCAGGTAATGGTATGCACCCTCATCCATCACTTTGATGCTCTTCATTCTCTCATCAAACTCCAATCTTGTATCTGCACTACATGCTTTCCACATTACATCTTTGAATGCTTTTCCTGCACATCTCTGTTTAAAATTGCCATATATGTGCCTACAACAAAATCTGACCTCTGCGTTAATTGGTACAATAATGTTTAGGGCTTCAATTAATCCCTACACAAACAAAAATAATTAATTGATATATAGAAAAAAAATAGGAGATTAAACGAATAATTAAAATGACAACAAATTAAATTCTTGTTACCTTTTGTCTATCAGACTAAAAGCCCAACCATTTGCTTCTACTGGATCCAAATAATTGACTAACTGATGTAGAAACCATATCCAAGTTTCCTTGTTCTCCACCTCCACAATAGCATATGCAATGGGAAATATATTCTCATTCATATCCTTACCCACTGCAGATAGTATTTTCCTTGTATAAATACCCTTCAAATTGCAGCCATCTATGCCAATTAATAGCCTACACCCTTTAATAAACCCTTCCTTACGAGCTAATAAACAAACATGCAATCTTTGAAGAATTGGACATGGCAGCCTAGTTATGTCATCCACCTTAACACAACGTAAACCCCTGAATTTGTTCTCATGACTTCCTCTCCATAATCCCACACTTTTTGGTATTATTCACTTGCAACTCCAAAGATATTCAACAAAGCTACTTGTCTTGCCCTATATGCTAGAGGTTTGCTAATGATTAAGCTATAATCTCTAACGACAAGTTCAACCACTCAACTTCCACTGAGGATCATCCCTCCACGTTGTTTAATATCTTTCAGCCAACTATTTAGATGATACCGGCTTACTGTTTTTATGTTGATGTCCACAACAATTACCATGTTTAAGCTTTAGTGATTTAATTTGAAATGTAGCTTCACCTCTCACTTTGGTTGCAATGAATTTTAAACCTACAAACATCCACACATGAACATTTCTTTTTTTTCCATGTTTGAAGTTGTCACATTTGCACCTGTGTTTGCAATATATAGTTATCCTCTTCTTGCCATTATGTAAATAGTGAAAATCATTTCCACTTTGGATTGTATACAATTTTAGAGCTTTTCTCAACACCTCATTGCTAGAAAATCTAAGCCCATCTTTGAACTCTATTGGTCTATTAAAATCAGTTTCAGTATCAAATTCAGGATATTTAACACCCTCATCATCAGACCCATACAAGCTATCCAACTCCTCTGTGTCACCATCATTCTCATAAAGAAAATTCAGGTAGGTCTTAAAAAAAATTTATTCATGTGTACTGCTCGTTCCATGTATGTTGCTCTCATTCACCATCATCTACATTAAACATTTCATTTTCATCATGAACATCATCATGATCATTCTCAAAAATCTCAAAATCAGTACCAGTTTCACTGCCTTCACCCTCAATTCTACACCTCTCATTCCATCTTTACTTGCATTCTCATGTTGACTGCTTGAAGGCGATGGTGATTGTGGGTGATGGTGGTGGTGGGGAGATATGCTAAGGTTGACTGTTAGTTTGTGTTGGTGGTGGTGGGGTATATGGAGCTTGACAGTAAGATAATGGTGATGGTGGAGTATTTTGAGATTGTGATGGCATGGGTTTAGAAACATCAAGTTCTATGATTGTAGGATTAGGAGCATTAACATCCAATGTTATCGAAGCGCGCACCTCGGGCGTGCCCGGGCACGGGGCGCTGCGGGTTGGGACGCGCGCCTCGTGTGCGCCTCGCGTACGCCTCGTGTGCGTCTTGCTCGCGCCTCATGTGCGCTTGACACTTGCATCATGTAATAGACTATTTCTTCTATTTTTTTAAAAATAATTTACATATTTACATCATGTAATAGACTCTTTCTTGCTAGTTGTTAATCCATTCTCCATCTTTTCATGTTTAACCTATAAAAAGAAAATAGTAATTTAGTATATTTGTTTGCTAACAATAACTTCCTTTTCTAACTAGCATGCTAACTAGAAATTATGAACATGTAAATATGTAATTGTTATCTTCATTCTCCATCTTTTCGTGCTAACTAGCAAATAGCAATTAAGAATTCTAACTAAAAAATTATGAACAGTCATATTTGTTAATCATTTAATTGTTACTTAAAAATACATATATCAATTTTAAATGAAAATACATATTTCTTATTTGTTACTTGTTTGTTTTGTTTCATAGACTTTCGTTTATGTTGGAGATTATCTTGCATTGTGATTTGTGAAAACTTATGAACACTGTTTTAAAAAACCTCCGCCTAGTCTGCTTAGACGTACGCCTAGGCCTAGGAGGTACCTAGACCGTCTAACTAGCGCCTAGCGTCTAGACGGTATTTAGGCTGCCCACCTAGATTTTACGAGCGTTTAGGAGAGTATTGTCTGCTTACGTGGATTGCACGCTGTAGGTCTTGATTGTGATTTTATGTGTCATAGCCTACACGTCCTCCAAACTCGATTAACTTATAAGTTAACAGTAATTTAAGTTTATTGTTAACTTAAACTTAACATTAACTTATAAGTTAACAGTAATTTGAGTTGAGAATGAGTTTTTCACTGTTGAGATAAACTTATAATTTGAGTTGAGAAGTATAAACATACAAAGAGCTACTGTAATTGGTAAACCTCAATAAATTTATGCATCTTTGATTGAGTATATATATATTTATCAAGTATCACAATTAAGAAAAAAAAACGCCCAGAAACCACTTAGGCGCCCGCCTAGGCGACTAAGCGCTGGGTGCCAAGTCCGACGCCTAGAATCGCCCAGCGTTTAATGCAACATTGCTTATGAACTTCTCTATGTTATACATGCTAATTAAGACTCTTTCGTGATTTAGTATGTGAAATTATATTTCTTAGTTTTTTTATGTTACAATTTATAAACATGTTGCTTATATGTTTTTTTGTCTTATATTGGAAAATGTTAGTTTGAGTTATGCACCTCAATTCAGTGAGACGCGTGCATCGTTGTGCGCCTTGCGCATGGTGCGCATAAAGGGCCTTTGCGCCCCGCATTGCGCCTCGCGCCTCGATAACACTGTTAACATCTACATCCAATTCACTAACATACTCACCAACTCTATGCACTACATACACGCATACCTTTTTACTTCGCCTAATAGAACCAACCATGTCAATTATGTTTTGATCCACAAGAAGTGGCCCAATCCCTCGATTCATGCTTGTTCTAGGATTTTTACAGCACAATTCAGCCACATTGTTACAATTTAATTTTTTTAGCCACATCTGTCAACTCAAATTGACACATAAACTCGGTGATGTGATTATTTTTAACATACGCTT